TCCACTAGGAATGTAAATACTATGCACTGCACATGTACTAATAAATTAAAATAAAAGTAAAAGTAACACTAAAAAAATTGAATCACCCAGTTCAAATGGATGAATTGGAAGGTAATATACATTATATATCAAATATGCTAAAATATAAAGAGCTTTGTGGCATCTACCAGACATACAGAAATTATGATCCAATAAATTAATTTTGGTTTACAATTTTGTATTGTTTCTTAGATTTAAAATATATTTTCTCATTCTATCTCAGATACAAATGTGAGAAAAAGAAATTAACTTCATAAAGACAGAGGGTAGGCGTTAATACAGCTCAAAATTGAGCAATTTCTTTTGAGAAATCAATGATGTACATTGCTACTCTTCTAAATGTAAATGGCTAATTTAAATTTAAGTTGGCAGCAATTAATTACTGCATAGATCTCCAGCTACATTGCAGATTAGTACTCATGTTTGTTTGTTTTCAAGTAACAATGAAGTAAAAAGACAAAATAAGATTTCCCACAAAGATCAAAATGTTGACTCCTTTAAATTCCTAGTCATTTTAGGAACATTTCTCACGGTTCTTCTTCTATAAGACGTTGAATATTTAAATTCCTAATAATTTTAGGAACATTTCTCATGGTCCTTTTCTTACAAGACTTTGAGATTTACTTCACCCTGTTCAACTTAGCTGTTTGATTGGAATGCTTATTTTTATTGCATTTGTACTCTTTTTTATTCAGTGAAAGACAAAGTGACATAAAAGTACTATCCAGTAATTATTTCTGATGAAAGGGATCTGATTAAGAATACTTCTCAGGAGTTAGAAGGATGACACTGTGTCCTTTGTGCACACGCCTGTACTAGTTTCCTTTGCTGGGAAGACGATTTGATGTGCATTATGTGCAACCTGTTTTTCCAGTAATTACAATTCAAGACATATGTCTTTGCAATAGAAGAAACCTAACTCTCATTTTAAGCATTCCTCTGTCTCTTCTTAGTTAATTCACTTACATAAAGATCCCATTAAAGGTCATTTTGCACAGAGCATCTTACTGCTATGTCTTCTTTTTCTGAGCATTTTTCTTTTGAAGCACAGAAATGCAAGTCTTTCATCAAACTTCTAGACTTACTTTACTTCTATATTACTCTAAAAGTACCAGAGAGTCAGCAGGGAGGAAAAAGAAGATATGTCTGCACAAAATGTGGACAAGTTACAGCTTGTTCTTCCGATGCCTTCCCCTGAAATTGCCTACTGCATACATGCATGAGAGAATAATAAATGAATATACATGTTTTAAACTCACATACATAGAACATAACTATTACACATATTAAAGACAATTGGAGCTGTTTTTAAATCAGTGATTCCACTGGTTACCTAGTCTTTATAAACAATAAAGGTAAAATTATTTAAAAATTGTACAATTATATAACACTAATTCTTTAATGATTAAAAGATAGTTTACTAGTGCTAAGCTATTTTCCTGAAACTATTTGTAATGTAACATATGATGTCATAGTAAAAGCACAGTGAAACAATGTAGGTAGTTAAATATATTACTTTTTATGTTCAATCTGCAACATTCTCATATGTGTTCATCCTCTAGATATTTAGTCAATATGAGATGGGAAGTACTATAATGGGTGTATGATTGAAGTACATATGAAAAGGAAGAAAATAAATTCTGATTGATTAAATCAGAAATAATTTTCTTGGATAATAAGCACATACACTCAAATAATTTCCAAGCATGGGGAAGCAAATATGGTGCACTCATTTACTGTACCATAAAAAGATGAGAAGGTGAATATGACAGTATAATCAATCCCCCAATTTAAGCATACTCAGGTAGAGATGGCGAATGTAAACCCAGAGGATTTATTTATTTATTTATTTTTTATTCTCAAATTAAAAGGAGGAAAACATTAACAGACAAACAACCTTTTACAAAATAGCAAAATAACAGTACAGACAATACGGAGTTACAAACAAAGTGGTAGGAAATTAGCAATGCTTGTTGTATTACATATTGATATCTTCAAAGTGGTTTCTCATGAGAACAGATAAGAGACATGCAATACTGATCAATCAAGGACTCATTGATAGTTTCTTTCAGCAAAGAAATAGAAGACAACTATGTTAACTATCCTATATATACATACATACATACAAAATTTTTCCTCTTTTCCAGAGGATATTTTATACCCAGCTATATAATTTTACTCATTTTAGAGTTCACAGGAAGTTATATTTCAATCAATGTACCATGGTGGCAGTGTGAAGTATGTAACAGAAGATAGACCTGAAACAATGGGCAAGAAGTCATCTTCTCAACCGTTTAAGAAAGTGATTAAATTATTTCTGATACTGCCGCCACTTCTACTACTATTGCTCTTAACCAGTGAGAAGTTATTGCTAACTGTGTGGAAGGAACTCTTCCAAACTGTAAAAATGCAAAATCAGGTGTAATTTTCCCCACAACCCTGCATGGCCTGGAAAATTATAGGGAGCACCTAAATCTTCACATTTCCCTAACATTTTTTTGTCTGAACTGCCTGTCACTTGATCCAAACCCGTCTCCTTCATCTTATCTTAGTCAGCCTCCTCTTGACCTTTCTCCATCTCCACCTTCTACAGGCCATAATTATAATCAGAAGTGCTTGAATGCTTTGTATCCTTATCATTCCACAGGAAATGTCTAGCAGAACCCAACTTTGGATGTGCGCCATAGTCCATATCTTTGGTCCGCAATATACATCTGAGAACTTCTGGATTATAACATTCAAATACGTTGGTGGGTAGCATACGAAGTCAAACGTATAAGGACACTCAGCACCACTGACAAGCCTTTACCTCATACTTGCTCATTTTGAAACGTTTAACACAATTCACGTGACTTCTACTCCAATAGATAATGAACACCCATGCTACAGGATGCAAATGCTAAATCTAATTGTCTTTTCCTGTTATGATTTTCTTTTTAGAAGGAAAAAGTGCAGCTTGAAGCCAGCACTCCTTAAATTTTCAGTAATGGAGAATTAATAGCAATGTCACTTCTAAAAAAAAAAGAATGTTATAAATAAAATGATGTCTTTTGTATCTAATGATTATTAATATATTAGAGTAATGTGAAAAAGTAATAAGAATGAGATAACTTGTGGTAAACTTTGGTGGTAAGGTCAAGTCTGTAATCTCTGACATCAGCAATCATTCTTGAGGCAAATGAGAAAAAATCTTGTCAACTATAGAGATATAGATTCTGGAGTTATCAGCTTATAGATATTGGTAAAAACCATTTGAATATAATGAAACAATTTAAGTTTTCATAAATACTATGTATTATCCAAAGTTAATTTTTGTCATTTAAAATAAAAAACTATTTCCTTCTATATACCATCCCACTGTATTTACATTTTTATGTTGGTAGGGGACACCTTATTTATTATTTTAGAAGAAAAGCTCACTAAATTCACACTTGATCCCAGTTTGATAGCACTGATAATCATAACTTCTTAATAAAGTTGCTATGAACATGTAAACCTAACAGCTTTTCTAAATACATAAGATGTTTTGATTTAACTGAAAACATAACTTCCCTACTGCTCACATTGCTTTTAAGATAGAGTTCATAAATCTAATATTTCATTATTTTTTCTCCTTCATTTATGTTCCCAAAGATATCCATTTATCTGAATTTGTTTCCACTTCCGCAATTCTGACATTTGCTAGAAAACTGTGGTAATCTGTACATTGTGTTGGAAGGGAAACCATGAAATGGAAGGGATTCTCAAGGCATTTAGAGGAGGTTCCTAAAACCACATAGGAACTAGATTTTTTCTGATTTAATAGAAGTTTTCAAGATTCTTCAAGTTGCACTATGGCTTTCATCCAGTTAAAGTTTAAAGTATTTTCAAGATCCTCTGTTCCCAAGAACTTAAATTTTGGACACTATCGACTGATTTTTCTTCTTGTATATGGGTATATGTTAAGTAATTCAGGATTCCATGATATAGTAGGCTGGCCAGTCTTCTAGACATACTACTTTTACATTTTATTTCTACTTCTGGAGGAGTTTCTTTTCATGATTATCAAATAGGTTTCAGTGCTACATAGGAATATATAAAAATTTTTATCTTATAATAATTTTGGCCTTCAAAAATTATACAAATACTCTAATTTTCTTATTTTTTTCCAGGTAGTGAAGGTACATGCTTGAATGATGTTACTATAGATTTACAAAGAAGGGAAGAATAAACTTTCAGAACATATTCTGTAAGTCAAGAGGCTTCTTCAGGGTCAAAACCCCTATTAGACATACATCCCATGAGCAATTGTAATATGTGTTTCATGTCAGAATTAATGGAAATGCCTCAGGTATTAAACTAAAAAGTGAATCATTATGTCAATTAAAACATTAATTGGGATAATTACAAGGAGATCACAGTTTATATAGAATTTAGTTATAATTTCTACAATTATCTTCAGTTACACAAGGAAAAATAATGAAGTTGTTTATCTGAAGTATTTACCTAACTGAAAATTCCAAAGAAAGTATAGCTACAAATATGTGCTCAAAATACACATTTGACCTGGATCTGCCACTGGCTGGTTGTTAATGAATTTCCCCGATTACAAAGTGGTTTGCAGAGAACACAAGACTCTCCAAAATACGAGGTATTACCAAATCAAATTCCTTAATTTTTACTTTGTTTTAAATGAGTCTCATTTAAGTATAATTGCTAACCTCCAACGCTACCCTTCTGCCATCGTACAGCCCGAAGGGATTCCTGTACATGTAAAATGTGAAATCCGGTTTGTGACTTTCTTGATCTGAATAAGGAGAATCAAGTTTCACCTACTGATCACACAAGCAGAAAATAAAACATGAAATTAAAGCGGAGTGCCTAGCATTCTGCACACAAACTTTTAAGTTTCTTCTTTACATTCCCAGAAGAAATGTAAGATTAGAGTTTGTCTGAATCTGTGGTTTGCTTTGTTTAGGGTGAACTGGAATATTAGTTACAAGCCCGATATCTGGACTAGATTTCTTGAGTTTGAATGCTGGTTTCATGACTTATACAGCTGTGTGACCCTGCTCATGTAAGCTATTCTCTCAGCCTTGGTTTTTTCATCTGTAAAATGAGACTACAAAAATAATATCACTTATCCCATTGGGAGGTCATAAGGATTAAATGTCCTAATATCTATAAAACACTAAGAATAATGTTTGGTACAAATAATGTATAACTTTCAATTATTATTATTAACACAGGGAAATGGAAAATAATTCATGGTTAAGTATTAAGCCATAAGGGCTCCATGAAACAAGCAAAGGTCAGAAACACATTTCTACCTGGGTACAGTCTTGCTTTCTTCTCTGTATTTGGCTCAGGAAAACTGACAGATATTCCACAGGATCATAATGGAATGTCCCAGAAGCAGCTTGAATCCAATAATGGCTTGTGACTGGGAATCCCTCCTTTGTTTGCTTATTTCTTTGATAATACTTTTTGTTCTTGTTATTTGGTCTTGAGATTTCAACACATGTCTGGGAATCCCAGGTGTATCTGATTATGTCTAATGATATTTCCCCATGCTGGAAGTTGTACTAAGCATTTTAACAGTACTTGCATATTTGAGACAAGCTAAAAAATGTAGGAATTTAAATTAAACACCTCCTTTCTTAAATTTGACTTACACGTTTTAGAGTGAAGTAGCCAAAGAGGCCTTTCTGCATGTAGAAAGACACTAATGAGTATATAAAATTACATTCATTCACACATTTTGCCATTACAAATCAGTAATGCACTGGGCTATTTAGCGTGCATTTTACTGTCCTCAATATTTCTGCCATGTAAATTTAAAAAATCAGCAAATTGGGTAACATATCATGGTTTAATATCAAGTGAGAAGCCTGTTTTTCCCCTATATAAATCAATGCGTTGCTACTTAAAATGTGTTTCTTCAGAGACCAGTCATATCATGTCCTCTGTGCTACTTTAAAATTACCTCTTTATTTATCTCCACTGCTAAGTTAATTATAAAAATGCTTGCAGTGAGCGATCATTTTGCTTGCCTAGTCAGCATCTTAAACTAGATTAATCTTCCAGCAACACTTAATGGAAACTAAAAGACACATCAACATGCTCTAACAATATAATGATGAAACAGCAAATGAGTCACTCAATTAGCCCCTTGATAGATATCAAAAATATTCCTTAGTGCAATAATTAATAAAGTCAGACTAAGCCTTTCTACTTATTTTTTGTCTGATTTTCAAAATGGTTGAACTTTGGTGAATAAATATAACAATACGCTTTTTACATACATGGTCAAAAAGAAAAGCTTGCTCTGTTTCAATTATTGACTGAACTTGTAATAAAGGGGCACCCTATCTGCTGTTTGTTGACTGCCTAATGACTGCTGTCCCAAATACTTCTTACTGTTAACTGAATTCATGGTTGATGGTGGCCTTGTTTCAAGGAATGTAATTGTTGAGTAGACATGTCTTTGCTGAGTCATTTTTAGATTTTAACTGTAAATGCCAATTTTAACTCACCTTTTGTCTCACTGGGAGTGTAAACTATGAAACAAATTATCAATGTCTCAGTCATTTAATATATAATATAGAGCTTGTCAATTTTATTAATGTTTGCATATCTTTAATTATAAACAATCCTAAGGAAGAAAATGATTACCATAATTATCAAATGATAAATTTATGATTTTTTTTGTTTGTTTCGTTTTTGTTTTTCTTCTGGAACCAGGAATTGAACTCATGACCTTGCACTTGCCAGGCAGGCACTTTTGCCACTGAGCTAAATCCCCAGCCCCTAAATTTATGGTTTAAAGCCAGCATAAGGCTAGATATTGAAATACCAAGGACTATATCACGCAATGCCCCAAGAATTTCAAACGCAATAGGACAGAGGGACCTCAGTTGTTCACTTGGGAAGATTTCTGGCATGGTTGATGCTTGAGCTAAGTTTGAAGGAAGAAGAAAATTTCAATCACAAGATTAAAAGAAAAATACTTTCCAGCAGAAGAAATTATAGAATGCACTTTGGATTTTATTTATGTGGCAGTGGAACTCACCAGTAGGATGAGAGATTGTAGTGTTTGTGCTCTGAATATGGTGTGGGTGGAGTTCAAACATGTCCAGCTTCAAGTTTTAGTAATGTTTACTTATGAAATATATTTCTCAAGGTGATTACAGTTATAATTTTAATTGCATGATATTATCATATTGTATTCAGGATACTGAATATAAATCCCTCATACATAAAATACATTGTTTTTATACTTTTATAAATGAAATGTTTATATAAATCTCAATTGACAATGGAAACAGAAAACACATGAAGCAATCCTTTAACTATCATTAAATGAATTTTCTGTGTGACCAATCAGCTAATTTTGTCTGAAATTTACGAATTTTCAGTTTATTTTTGTATGGAGCACTTGTATTTTTGCATAGTCATATTGACCACAGCAATAATGTTGATGATAGTGATGATGATCATGGTTATAACATTTGCCTGTTTCAGGTATTTACATGGATTAATCCTTCTATTCCTCAGACTATTCATATAAGATGCATGGTCATATTGCCACCATTATATCACTTAAAAACCTAAAGCACAGAATCATAAATATCTGGACTTAGCTCATCGGTAGTAAGTGAAGAGCTGAGAGTGAATCCGTAAAGCTGACTCCAGAGTGTAGTGTTGTACTGGGGTGGTTTTAGTAAGATGACACACTTGACCTAAAGCTCTTCTTTGAGGAACAGTAACTCTCATCTCTAAGATGAGATGTTAGTACAGGAAATTTATCCTTAACACTCCTAAGCACTGTAAATGGTCATGCTCATCTCAGTAGTTCAGTTTTGGATTCAATACATAGATCTGTGCAGAGCTTTCTTTTCCTAATATTAACTGAATGGGTAACTCTGATTGACACTTCCAGAGTTAGGAACCTGGATACAGACTCATCATTTAGTGGAAAGCACAGTGGTATCTAATGAACGTTAGAAATCCAAAACTAACTTGCGGTATTGCAGTTGTCACCCTTTGTTAGTCCACACAAAGACAAATTAAAGTTGAATGACCCAAGACAAATATCGCTAATATTTCTTCTGACATAGGTTACAATGAATCTTAATTTGGAGGATATAAAATATGTCTCTTTTGAAAGTAGAAATTTATAATTAGGTCCTTTCATGGTTTATCAAAATTAACTGCCTGTCTAAAAGTGGATTAAGATTGAAATAGTCAGATAAACACAACATGAATAAATACTTATATTTTAGCATCAGATTTATTACATGAAGTTAAAAGAAGAAAAATAGACAAATACTTTCCCCAAAAAAGAATTTAAAAGAAAAATCTGTATAGCTAGAATCTGCTTAATAATTTAAAATTTAATTTCAGAGTCAATAGCCATTTAGTGTTAGCAAAAAGAAATGAAAAAATTCTATAGACAGCCTTACTGAAGACTGGAAAGCCTGCACATATTTAAATTCAGTGTTGAAATCTATGTTTTCTGTGTATACTAAAATATTGGTGGCATAAAAATGTCAGTACAGAAAAGAACATTGTTCTTCTGTTGTTTGATCTCCTATCTTATTCTTGTGATTCTAAAAAATATATTAAACCCTACTAAAAACTCATTGAATTCTTAAAAAGATTTAAGTTTATTGGTTAAGATAATTGATATATTTCTTAATTTAAAAAATAAATGATTTTCTCAGGCAAATATCTGCCAAGGTATCACCTTTCAAAGGTGGATTATTGCCATCTAGTGGCAAAACCAGGTAATCCTTTACGGCTAAATTCAGTAGGAGTCCCTTAGGTAGAAGTGTGTATTGTAAGTGTGCGTGTGTGCGTGTGTGTGCGCGTGCACACAGTTTCTAAAATGTACATTTACTTCCTAAGGAGATTTTATTTACTGTTCACTAATGAGACAAATATATAAAACTATTATTGAAAGAAAAGTTTCTATTTAATAATGTGATAAATAATGGGGAATTAAGTATGTTTAAGACGTAGATGTAAATGAAAGATATGAGCAGCCTTAAAAGATAAACAGGACCTCAGATGATGAATAGATAATCAACTTAAAATTAACAGAAAAAGTGTGTCTTTAGTGTCAAGATGCACTTAAGATTATTCGCAAAACCAAAATTAGAATAAAAAAGGAATATTTGTTTCTCTGTTTCCTTACAGGGGAAGGCGGGTAATACTTGAGTAAAATTTCAGCACTTGATTTTTAAGCTAGAAAAGAGAAGAGGTTATCGATTCAGACACAGAGAGTTTATGAAAGTATATAACGTTCCCATTGCAGATACTAAGTTATGTGATTTAAAAAGTATCCTTTGAAAAGTGTTCATGAACTGTCTTACCTTGAGGGAAAAGAAATGGACTAGATGAGATTAAGTTTCCTCCCAGGACTTAATTGTATTAAAAGCCAACACAACTCCTTCATGATTCATCCTTTTTTGGTTTAGAGATAATATTCCTGTTTGACCCAGCTGAAAGTCTGCCTTTTTCCTGAGACTCCAATTAACTTTACAAAAACTCTCTTCAGGGAAAAATCTAGGCAAAAGGATTAATTTAGCTAACAATGCTATAACATAAAAATCTCCGTTGGAGCTTTTTCTGACCTGTGCTAGAGACTGCCAACTCAAATGCTGGGCTAATAAAAGAGCGCTCTTCATAACCCAGGAGATAAGGAAAAAAACCATCACATCAGACCAGTTGCTCTTCGCGGGATTCAAAGGAGTCCAAAATAGTCTTAATGTCTAAAAATGCCACACTTCCTCCCGGAGCCTAGGATTGGAAAGGGTACATGAGGTTGATATATCACTGATGCAATTTTCTCAACTTGATGGGAAAAGCTTCATGTGGTCTAAATGAGCTATTGAAAAGGAGAGAGCCATTTTTTCCTGCAGTCACTCAGAAAACAATAGGATTTTATGAAACAGAGCTATGAAAAGGAAGAGTCACATAGCTTCTCTTGCCACCAGCCTTACCATGATGAATTTTCTTGGTCTGTCCCTGAGATAGAGAAGTAGCTATGATTTCATCCCTGTTCTACATAAT